AAAGTCCTTTGTGGATTTATCTCCATAATGAAGAATGTTTTTCCTTCTTCTTTCCAGAATACCAGAAATACATTGTTTGCCAAGGAAAAGTGTAGAACTCTGTTTTTCATAAGTGTTCCTTTGTGCTACGAATGACCTGTAAGTGTACATATCTAGGAAGAGTACTGTGTAGTTCTGATTCCTGTGTCCACTGGGAAGAGATCAAGTCAGGGTCATTAGCACATACCCATCTCTTCAAAGCTTTATCATTTTGTTTGTGAAGATTACATTCAAATTTCTCTCCTCTCTGTGTGATATACAATGCATTTCTGTTCATTATGTTTACCCTAGTATCCCAAACACCTAAGATTAATTCTTTCCAACAATAACATGTGTCTATGATTGAGCCATCCCTCACCCCCTTCTATACTATAACTATTCTATATAACTTTTCTAGTTTTAAACTTTTTCTTAAATTCATATTCTGAAACAATCCTTATGAAAATTTGAATTTAGACAAATTATTCCTTTTGTATAAGATAAAATACTGTATGCATTTTATGGTATTTTAATCTAAATGCAGCTGAATTTTTTTTTACTCTATTCATATTGAATTACACCTGTTAGAATTTTAACTCTTAGTATCCTTGCTTTTAGTGAAGTCACAGAAACAGTGCAATCTGAAATTATTTTTCCATTTACCAATCTATAAAAACACACTTACTAAACCCAAATATGTGGTTACCTTGTGGAATTCAGAATCCAAGTGTACTTAAAATTATATTTAGCAGTCGATGTTTATGTACTTTAATTTTATAAATAAATCAGATGTCCCCTCTAAAGAACATTTATAAAATTAATCTTATTATGTTAAATTTAATTTACTCAGTTTTAACTGTTAACTATGAGTTATCCATGAAAAACAAGCTTACTCAACATTATAAGCCATCTTTTCTCAACCAAAGACAAATCCTAAAAGCAATGGACATTATGATTTAAACATTTTATACTTCTCAGATTTTGCACAAAACAGTGCTCATCAGTGTGAGGTTTCACAACAGTAAGAATAAGCATGTAGTAGGGGGATTGACAAACCAAACCAATCTGTTTCAAGAATTTGTCCAGAGGAGAGACAATGGATCTCATAAAAGCCTTGCTCTTAAAGGGAGTATTTTTTTTTTCTTCCTGGGGCATGTTATTTCCTCCTTAAACAAAATCTTGGTTAAGATCACATGGATCATTCTCCCAGGGTCCCTTTAGCCCAAATGGCCTTATTCGCTTTTAGAAGACCTCCAGAGGAGAAAGCTTGTTTTTCCTTTTCCTGGGAGACACTTGCAAAAGCAATTGTTGCTGTTTGGGTGAGAATGTTATTTATGCATTTAACTTAAACAACAAATTTCACCCCTGGAGAAGGACTGGATAATCTGGTATATATACACACACATACAAAAGAAAAAACAAAACAAAACATTTCTCCACTGCCAGGTGCATTCCAGGGGTTGGAGCACAGGATATTTCTGAGCAGGACCTGTCTCCCTTATCATCATCATAAGGCCATTAATTTTGAGTGATCTCTGCACTATCAATTGAACCCAGAGGCTCTTTGGGCTTTTTTGGCATATTGATATTCAATGGAGGAGGCCCTTGACCATCCCTTTGAAGAGGCTGCCAATAAACCTCAGGATGGCTTTAGTTTCTGTTTTTTCTTTTCTGGGTACAGTTCTTTATCCCCTTGTTTTCCCCCATGCATTTAGTTTGGTGGGACACTGTCACAGCAAGAACCCAAAAACAACTCAGCAAGGTCCTAAGTCCCCCCAGACCCCACCTGCCAGCAGAAGCAATTAACCAAGTCCCATTCTCAAACTCTAGTTTTACTCCTGTGGGCAAAAAGGGGGCTCTAAGGCAGGGCAGAGGCCAGGTCCTCTTGTGACTGAACTCTCAGTCCTCGCCTCCAATGCCAACCCAGTAAGGAGGACATGATTTTGAGAATAAGGAAAAAAAAGTTTGATTGTTTTACTAACGGAGGAGAAACCCAAGGCACTGCTGTCCCAGAGGCTGTGATTCTGCCCATCAGCAGGAACAGGGGGCTTTCAGAGGTGATTCAAAGGTCACATTCTACATGCTTTCTGTAGGAGTTGTGATTTGCTGATTAAATTGTAAGAAATTCATTTTTGAGATTTTCTGGTGCCATCCCCAAAGCCTGGATTCCTTCCTTCCTGTAGGACTGTGCACTCAAGGGACAGATAAATCTGCATAAAATGGAGAAGAAAGGCCACCCTATTTCCCCTGAGATTAGGGAGGGAGAAAGATCTGGAGGAGCAGGGAGAGAGGAAGAAAAAGAAACATGTCTATTTTCAAAGTAAGTTGCAGGGGCAGAGCACAAGGGCTGTATTCCAAGCACAAACTCGACCACTGTTACACTCTTTGCCCTTTTTTTTCAACCCAAGCAAAAAAAAAGTCCCTTTTGGGACTTTTCCCCTCAGCCCAGGGCTGGTGTCCCTTACCCACACTGAGGTGACCTGTGACTTCTTGGAGACAGACTGAGAAGCAGTGCATTTTACATCATCGACTCGGTTTCTAGCTGTTCAGACTCCTCATGACTTGCTACCAAAAGCTCAGTCCTTGTCCTTGATGCCAATTGAATGATGAGGACATAGTTTTGAAAAGGGAAAATCAGTTTTATTGTTTTGCTAGCTAAGGAGAAACACAGGAGGCTCCTATCCCAGGGGCTGTGATTCTGCTCATCCAGGAGAACAAAAGGTTTTGAAAGAAATGATTCATTCCAGGTGTTCCCTATGGAGGATTGTGATCCACTTGTTATTTTGGGGACAGCCATTCCTTGGATTGCCATCCCTGAAGTCTGAATTATACTTGGTTCCTGTGGTGGCTGTGTGTTCAAGGACAGATAACTCAGCTTAGGGTTGGAAAAATATGATCCTGTTCCCTACCCCCAGGTTAGGGAGAAGGGGAGGGAGAAGAGGAAAGGAAAACAGGTCCATTTTAAAATAACCCTCGTGGCAGAGCAGCAAGGGCTGTATTCAAATCAGGAGGGGCACCACTGTCACATGACTACATAATAGGAAATAAGATCACTCTACAAAAAATCCTTTTCACCCTCTTATCATGCAGGTCCATCTTTATAAGTAAGAGGCGTTAAGATCTGGAAGCCTCATTCCAAGGGCCACCCTTCAATTTAGGACATGGATGTCTTCAGTGTGACTGTTAGAAATATCTGGGTGCTGTAGGAAATCAGCAAGGGAAACTTGACTTTTGCAGAAGAAGATCTGCCCAGGTTTTTTACCCTAACACAGCACAGCCCCTTGTTTTTAATAAGAGGAGTGTGGGGTCACAATCTACGTGATTGACTAATTAAATTGGGGAGGACCAGGAGAAGAGCTTGGTGATGACTGGATCACCCTCTACTCTCTAGGCATTATGATTGGAAGACTGAGGACAAAGGGAGATAGATTGGGGGCTCAATATGAGCATTTGGCAACCAAATAACAGAGGCAAGAAATGGGAAGCAAACCTCCGGTCAGCAAGCATTTCTTTCATCTGCAGTGAAGTCAGTGGACCAGGTACGGGAGGGCTCATTTTCTGGATATGGAAAATGCCCCCCTGGTTACAGAAGGAGTCTGGGTTTTACAGTTTACCATGAGAGCGAATGCACCATTGGAGACTGCAGATGTGCAGTTTGGACAGTCAGCGACCTAGTTGTGCAGGTGAAAATTTTAGCTCAGGAAGGCACGTGTAAAAAGTTTTAAATTTGTTGTCACTGGGAAAAGCCCACAACTCGGTGTCCACTGCTTGTCTCTGGGACACACTGGTACCTAGAGCTTCATTATTTGCTTTTCTCCATTTAGGACTCATCTGAAATGGAAAGGGTAAATGTTCAGGGCCCAGCACTTCAGTATTTGCCTCCTCCCTTCAGAACTGTGAGGTTAGTGCTTGGCTAGTTTCCTGTCCCTCCACCTGAGCTGCACCTTCTCTCCAGGATTCTTCAGGGGCTGGCTATCTTGCAGGAATATTATTTTCCATAACTCTTCACTCAAAATGCCTACATTCCAACCACATGGCCTGGTGACTGGAAAAGAGCTCTTCCTAAATATGCAGGATGAAATGTAGGTTTTAGATGGCAGCACGCACATTTTTGTTACATATTAGGAGACTTAGAGAACAGGTTTAATTTTGACATAAATTAATGTTCCACAGTCTCCACAGAAAGGGCAGTTACCAAAGCACAGAGGGACGGGCACTCAGCTTTCTGCCTCCAGCCCCATGTCCAGGTACAGCCTCTGCATCTCCTGCAACCTCCTGGGGACCCTGAGGAGCACAAGTCCTGGGGGGAGGCCACCTCAGGTAGGACTCAGTGAAGCCCAAATGACTGAAATGACCCATGTATGTCTGAAATCACTGCCATGAACAACAATTCTCTTTACTATCTCCGTGCACTAGAGTTAGGTTTCCTTTTTCTTGGAGAACTGATGGCATCTTTATAAATAAAAAGTCCAATATTGCAAAATGATCTGAAGCCTCTAAGATAATCTAATTGTGTAAATTTTGTAAATGATGAAACTGTGCAGGCTGGGTGATAATGTGACAGCATAAGGATACAGTTTTCTAGGAATTGCCTCATCCTCCTCCACAATTGATCATGAAAATTCAATTCTGTGCCTCACAGGAGGTCCTCCTCTGAGGTGGGCACATACTTTCCGTGTCCTCAGCTTGTGGTTCTCTCAGAGCACACAGCAGAGTTTGCTAGAGCTACAGACGCTCCTTCAGTTTCTGCTTCTCTGAAACCCAAGCAAAGAAAATTGTTTAAAGAACTTAAATTATGTGCCAAATATTTCAAATTGAATAAAAAATACTCAGGTTTCAAGCCACTTTAAAATGCACATGGTCATTATGTGGTCTCAGACATTCAGAACAAGGTAATGATGGAAGAATAAGGTATTCTGGTGAAGCAGGAGTCCCGTCACTGTGACTCACTCTGGAAGTCTAAATCCAAATCAGGTAATACCTCACAGAGGAGGAGCTGCCCTTCCTATGAGCTTCCTCAAGGCCTCCTTCATGTCCCTGTTCCTCAGGCTGTAGATGAAGGGGTTCAGCATCTGAGGGACCACAGAGTACATCACAGAAGCCACTGCAGTCTTCCTGGGGGAGTCGGTCACCTCAGAGCTAATGTACACCCCAAAACCTGTCCCATAGAACAGGGAGACAACAGACAGGTGAGACCCACAGGTGGAAAAGGCTTTGTGCTTTCCTCTGGATGATGGCATTCTCAAGACAGAGGACACAATGTGAACGTAAGAGAAAATGATCCCAGACATAGACGCAACAGCAAGGAGACCAGTGACCAGATATACCAGGATGTTATTGATGAGGGTATCAGAACAGGCCAGTTTGATGACCTGAGCAAGTTCACAGAAGAAGTGGGGGATCTCCAGGACTTCTGTGCAGAAGGACAGTCTCAGCACCATCAGAGTGTGCAGCAGGGCGTCCACAGTGCTGATGAGCAGGGAGATCAGAATCAGCTGGACACACAGGCAGGGGTTCATGATAACTGTGTACCTCAGGGGATGACAAATGGCCACATAGCGATCATAGGCCATCACTGTTAGGAGACAATTCTCTAAACCACCAAAAATCAAGGCAAAACAGACCTGGGAGAGGCAGTCAGTGTATGTGGTGCTCTGACCCTCTGTTAGGATGTTCACCAGCATCTTTGGGATGGTGCTTGTGCTGAAACAGATGTCATTAAAGGACAAGTTGGAGAGGAAGAAGTACATGGGGGTGTGGAGGTAGGAGTCAGAGCTGACAGCCAGGATGATGAACAGATTTCCCATCATAGTGACCAGGTACATGGACAGGAACAGGCTGAAGATGAGGGGCTGCAGGGCTGGGTCATCTGTCAGTCCCAGGAGAAGAATTTCTGAAATAACTGTTTGGTTTCTTGTTTCCATGTTGTTCAAATCTGAAAGAAATTTTGGGTGAGAAGAAAATATATGGATAGAAGCAGAAACACTTTCAAATAAAACCACACCTACAAAAACCATGGTCTGATTGTTTCTAGACTTGAGACCTCTGAGAAAAAAGTTCTTTTTTTATGTCACCCTATCTCTGGTACTTGGTTATGGCAGCCCTATAACTAGTACACTCACAAAATGACATTCTCAACATCTGTATGCAACATCTGTATACATATTCAAGGGGATTTCAGAATATGTTATAATATCATTGTTGTACTGAGTTCAAGATGAACTTCATGTAGAATGGGGACCTCTTGCTGACAGTTCACAGGAGAGGCGGAGGACCCCCTTTTTCTCCCTCCCATTTTGCTCATCCACCACCCCGCCCCCACTGTTTCCAAGGATGAAATTCTAGTACATACTTGCCCTTCAAGTCAAAGCATTTCCTAAGCCACTCTGTATTACCTGGTTGGCTTCAAGAGGAATGGTTTCAGCATCTCACCCAGATATTAACCTTAGAAGATTTGTCCTCAGGAAATGCAGAGAAACTAAATAAGTTATCTCTAGGAAGAGGCCCAGTTGCTGTGTCCCTACGAAGCAGGTCTTCTGAATGAGGTGGTCACAGGCTGACTCCTATGCTCTCTCTTTCCCTGGGGCTCAATATCCAAAGCTCCTCATTAAACCAGTTAGTTACAATCATTCAGATCTCAGGAGTGCACATCTTTTAAGACCAAGAGGACAGAAAATAGGAATTTGGAATGGCCGATTTCCTGACCCTGTAGGGCACATGTGCACTATTCAGTTCTCCACATTTTTAAAAATTTTTCTGCTCATCTTCATTTTATGAACCTAGCTTTCAAAACTTAATGACTTCCAGTATTCCTTTTAAATAATAAACAAAAAAATCCACGTAATTACTAATATCAGGAACACTGATTCCTGTTGTAGATGTAACCATATGCTTTATATTTGTGGGCATAAAGAATGTAATTATATTAGCTAAGATGTCATGAAAATACAAACATTCCAGGAAGTGTCTTTATCGATGTCACACTGATGTTTAATTAAACTTAATTTTTGTTTTTTTATGCTTGCACAGAACATCATGCTGTATCCCAACATATTGATCCTAATGATCATATTGATTCTAGTCACTGTTGATCAGCAAAATTACTGATAGTACAGCAAATTCATGATTATAACTCCATAAGTAGTTAAGTCCATAAGTACTTTTATTCAATCTTGTTACAATATTTTCATGAATTTTCTTCATGAATGGAAAATTTTTGAGTTGAAATAAAAAATTTCAATTAAAGTGTTAATTATAAAATCATCAAAATGTAGGACAGTGCAGATGGGTCCATATACTCAGAACATTTGGGCTCATTTTGAAACCTCTTACAATTAAGTTCAACATTTCCTGAGTTTATCTATCCATTTTATTAACATAGACTCCAGTTATGTTAAAAAATGCTTGAAAATCTAGTGATAGAAAGAACTTACATCAACAAAGAAAACAAACAAAAGCTTGAAGAGAGTCTACAGAATGGGAGATCATTGCCACCTGCTCCTCAGATGAGGCATTAATATCCAGAACATATTTAAAAAACCCTCAAAAATCGTAACAGCAAAAAATGAAATAAACCAATTTTAAAATGGGGAAAGGAACTAAATGAAAGAAGAAATAAAGATGGTTAAGAAGTATATGAAAAAATGTTTGATATCTTGAGCAATTAGAGAAATGCAGATCAAAAACTACATTGAGATTTTATCTCACTCCAGGCAGAATGGCAATTCTCAAGAATACAAATAATAGTAAATGTTAGTGAGGACTCGGGGGAAAGGCCCTCTCATTTATTGTTTGTGGGACTGCAAATTAGTGCCAATCACTCTTGAAAGCAGTATGGCGATTCCTCATCAAAACAGAAATGGAACCACCATAAGACCCAGCTATCCCCACTCCTTAGTATATATCCAAAAGATCTAAAATCAGCATGCCATTGAGATTCATCTGCATCAATGTTCATCCAGAAAAACATAAGGAAAAAAAAGTGTTAATATGCCCTAAACTGAATCCTATGATGATAATGACACAGTCTCCTAACTATAGTGTCCAGGAAGCCTGTGAGCCTGCAGGACTAGGAATATTGCATAGAGCAGAAAAAGACACTGGGCACTGTGTGCCGTCACAGGCCAATAGCTGTTAGATTTGAGGGAACTAAAATATTGGCGCAATACAAGAGGTTTGGCAGGGTATCTGGACTTGGCAAATGCCATGTTCTTGCTATGCAAGATTATTCATGATACGTGGTTGAGACAACGAACTTGAATTTGATAAACTCCGTATGTCTCTAACTTGGTTAGTTTGAATTCATCCTACTTATTAACTCTTGATTTTAATTCTTGTGCCATAGGAGTCTTATTAAGGAAGCTGCGACCTTATCCAACACGATGGAGATTTGGGCCTACTTTCTCAGAGTAGAAAACTATTAGAAAAGACATTCCTGAGAAGACCAAGCTTTCACTGATAAGTAAGGATGAGTGAATGGTAAGGATTAAAATAGACCTCCTATTTTTTGAACGTTCTCTTTGTCATTCAGGTTATGGATGATTTCTCCAGACAATATGAATAGTATAGCTTTAAAAATGCATGGGTACAGACACATATGTACAAATAATGCAATATGCTGCATTTTTATTAAATATAATTATTGTTCTAGGTCTTGTAGGATTTTCTTCAAAAGTGTCATATTTATGGCAGATTAGGTTTAATTGTTAGTAGAGGAATTGGATGTGAAATTGTACAATGTTTTGGTGAATTTCTCTGAGGGTTAGTTTTTAATTTATTTTTAATTTATTTGGGAGACTGCTGTAATGTTTGGGTATACTACAGCTATGGCTACAGAAGAATATCCTGAGACTTGAGGGCCTACAATTATTTGAAATACATTATTGTTAGGATTTTTAATGGAATTATTAATTGTTCTCTCATGAATGTACATTATGGGGTGGGGATTGCTATTAACTTTAAGAATTTAGAGGATTTGGTTAAATTGGATGGAGAGGAGCTTGGTTTAATTCATGAAGACTCGAGGTGTGGCTGCTTGATACAGTTATGGAAGTTGGCTTACGGTTGTAAACCATTGATCCTTGTGTGTTAGCATTTTTACTGTAATTCAAAGTACATGTGGGAATTCAATAATAATTCCTAGGTTAAAATAATGGATAGGAGCAATGCTAGAAAATGTTACTTGATCAGTGGTTTTGGATTAGATGAAACTATAACTTGAATGTGGACAATAGTTCAGGAGGGAGTTCTAATCAGATTACAACTACTAGAATTGGTACTGATTTGGGGCTTATAGTTAAATTTAGGTGGGGAGATAGTGTATAAAAATTGGGAAATATCCTAATATGTTTGCACATTTAGAAAAATTTAAATTATATTTGTTTTTGAGATTTAAAGTTAATAGATTAAGTTCTGCTGACATGGCAACACCTACATGGTAGTCAAGGGGCTGTTATTGTTAGGGGCAGTGGCATGGTTATGAGTGGGGTGTTAGTAAGTGGGATGTGGATAGAAGAATTCCTGCAAAAATGCCTCCAGTGGTAAGGTGTTTAATTAAATTAATAAACAGTCGTTTTCATTAATAAAGATTAGTGTTGAGAATCGTGGCTATCCTAGTAGAGCTAAGGATTTGCTGAAGGTGTGTACTGTAGACAGCAGTGAGGGACTTGGCAATGCATGTGATGAATAGGGCTCAGAGGTGGGCACACAACAGGTGTGCTGACACCACAATTAGGTCTCCAGAGTAGAAACCTGTTAGAAAAGACTTTCCTGAGAAGACCAAGATTTCTCTGATAAGTGAGGGTGGGTACGTGGTAAGGATTAAAGTAAACCTCCTATTTTTTGAATGTCCTTTTTGTCATTCAGGTTATGGATAATTATTCCAGAGCATATGAATAGAATAGCTTTAAAAATGCATGGGTACACACATATAGAAATGCTAGGTGACACTGATTAGCACCAGTGACAACTATCATTAATCTGAGTGATATGGAAGTGGAGGATGCAATCTTTTATTTTTAATGTCCTTCTGGGTTAGGGCACAGGGTAGCAGTAGCTCTTAAGCATACGGTGAGTGTTTGATTGGATGAATTCTGGAAGCAGAGCAATGGAATGGAGATAGAGATGAAAATCACCATCCTATGTCACAAAGCTGGGCAAATGGCAAGTCAGATCAGAGCCCAGAGTGACATGTATTTAGGCGACCCTCACAGCCATTGTCGAATGTGTGGGGATGGAGGACCAGGCATTCTAGCTCACCAGTACTCTGTCAGCTGATCTCCTGGTAGAGAACAAAGCTCACAGCCGGTGATAAAGTCACAGAGAAGAGGGTGACCCAGTGAAGAGGTGCCCCAGGGCTCCCTTCATTTCCCTGTTCCTCAAACTGTAGATAAAGGGGTTCAGCATTTGAGGGACCACCATGTACATCATTGAAGCCACTACATTCTTAATGGAAGAGTCACTTACTGCAGAACTCATGTACACACCAAAACCTGTCCCATAGAATAAGGACACAACCGAGAGGTGAGACCCACAGGTGGAAAAGGCTTTATACCTTCCACCCACTGATGGGATCCTCAAAATAGAGGAGACAATTTGAGCATAAGAGAAAATAATCCCAGAGACAGGGACACCAGCAAATAGGCTTGTTCCCCAAAATACCAGCAAGTTATTGATGAGGGTGTCAGAACAGGAGAGTGTGATGACTTGAGTCAGTTCACAGAAGAAGTGGGGGATCTCCAGGGCTGTGCAGAAGGACAGCCGCAGCACCATCAGAGTGTGCAGAAGGGCGTTCACAGTAGTGACCAGCAGGCAGAGTAGAACCAGCAGGACACAGAGGCGGGGATTCATGATGACCATATACCTCAGAGGGTGACAAATGGCCACATAGCGGTCATAGGCCATCACTGCAAGCAGACAATTTTCTAAG